ATTAAGCCCTTGGCATCAGCTCCTCATTTTCCCCTCCCTCCCTCCCCTCCCTCATGAACCCTTGATAATTTATAAGTTATTATTTTGTCATATCTTACACTGTCCAACGTCTCTCTTCACCCACTTTTCTGTTGTCCGTCCCCCAGGGAGGAGGTTATATGTAGATCCCTGTAATTGGTTCCCCATTTCCACCCCACCCTCCCTCCATGCTAAATTGTATTTTCTATAACAAATAGATTTCACCCTGTTAGCCCATCTTCTTCTAATAAACTGTAAAGTCCAACTCAGGGAGTGTAGTGTTCTGGGAGTCAGGATAACATGGAGCAAGGAAGTACTGCTTATCCCAAAGTTTAAGTTTATCTATTAAAAAAAAAATAGTAGGCCGCATGTTTTTCAGAGACGATTTCATATTTCTGATCTCTCTTCGAACTAAACTTTCATATTGATTATTTTTGCATTTTAAATTTGAAATAACTAAATCGACTGGAAGTTACAACTTCCCCTCCCCCCATTATATATTCATTCAGATCATCGCCTAGTACCATTTGATTTTTATCCCTTCAAGTCAATTCTGACTCATGACTCTTTAGGATGGGGTAGAACTGGCCCTGTGAGTTTTCTGAGACTGTATTCTTTACAGAGTAGAAAGCGTTGTCTTTCTCCCAAGAAGTAGTATCTGGCTATAATTTTAATTTGATTTTTAAAATATTCTTAAGTGATAAGTTGAGCATCTTTTCCTATAGTTCAAAACGGGCATATTTTTCTCTGTCCATTTTTCTGTTGTTTTTGTCTTTGTTATGTTTTAGAAGCTCTTCATATATTTGGATATGCCTGGAGCCCCAGGACCACCTATTTTTGGGATGACTTGCCAGGACGATTCATAGGGTTCAGTATAATTATATTCAGTGTGAAGATTTATTACAGGGATCGGGTACAAAGCAAAATCAACAAAAGGGAAAAGGACTTGGGGTGAAGTCTGTAGGAAAAAGTCTCATGGGAAATTAGGTAGCAAGCTTCCAAGAATCCTATCCCAGTGGAGTTCTTAATTCCCCCAGGAACTGAATTTCTTAAGGAGCTTCCCTGTTGTCACGTGTTGGTGGTCTTTTGGATTTTCTAAATATATCATCTTGCCACTGGCAAATAGAGATGGGTTTGCCTCTTCTATTTCTAGGGATGTGATTTTTTTTCTTTATGCACTATGTTAAATAGATAAAATAAAAAAAATATATTTTGATGCACAGTGTTAAATATTAAATAGTAGAGGAGTTGTTTTGGACATCAATCTTTTGCTCCTGCCTCTCTGATGTTTCCTTAGCAAGTAAAATGCCAATTCTTGCTTATGTGCACACACACAGGCATATAAACATCCATGCACATATAGAACTACACAAACATAAATATATGCATATTTTTATACAGCGACAGATGTATAGCATGTTAAGAATGTATTCATCCATTTCTACTTTTGAGTACAGTGAACCCTCGCCACTT